TAACAAACTATACTTTTTAAACGATGAAATGTTTTCGTGTCATATACACTTTAATGCTCATGCAGTAATATCATTTCAGAGTTCCTTAGGTTGTATATAGTCAAATTTATATTAAAATATATTACTTAAATTTGCGATTCAAATAATCAGCATGACGATCTATCTGAAGACAAAACAATCTTAATGATACACGGAACACAATTTTCGTCAAATATATATATTTTTGAAACCATACTATATCAAATATAAAAGTAAAATCTTTAATTTTATATAAAAATTAAGTTAATTTTTTTTTTTATTAAGGGAGATATTCGTAAAAAAGCAATTTTAGAAGTTACCAGTAGGTTTTGTTGACAGGAACTGTCATTTATATCTATTCACCGGAAGTCGATTGATCCAAGTAAGTTTGACGTCGCGAGCATTGTCGAGCCTTCCCTGCTAGAAGAGTCTCTCTTCTCTTTCTCTCCCTTCTTTCAGGCAAGGAAGAAGGAGACTCTGCCGATGTAGAGCGTTTCCTTTGATACACCGCCGTCCACGATTGTGGACGAACAAAACCAGTTTTAAAACCGGTTTTTAACCGATTACATGTAGTGCGCATGAGCAAATGTAACACACCGTGGCGCCAAACATTGTTTGATAAGGGCAGCTGTCAAAATCATGACAGCGTTGCTAAGTTACGCCACGCATGCGCGACAAAAATAACGTCCTACATCGGCAGAGTCTATTTTTGTTTCGGCCCTCAGGCCGAAACAGTCACTACATTCCGTTTGCCGGCCCATAATAGTCTCCGTGCGTGTCATTTAGCTGCCAGAGGTTTGGACCTAATCCAATCATATGCCGTTTCCATCATAAGCAATGAGAAAATGTAAAACATTTCACCATGCGGAGTATTTCGGAGGGTTGCGGTGAATCTTCTCTGAGGTAGTTGCGTAGACTATATTATGCCCTTTCGCATGACGCCATTTTTTGGAAAAAAATATATTATTGATTAACCCTACGACAATGCGTATTTTATTCATTCCTAAGTCAGTATCTAGGTCCAAGTCGCCAAGTAGGTAAGTTATTGAAAAGTGACGGCGCACTGGTCAAAGACAAGCCTTGTATCTTTTCGTTCGAATTGAGACTTTCGCATTTTCTTCAAGCTACGATATAAGAGCTAAATACATTTACCATAAATGTCAAAGAGCAGAATGAAGGTTTAAAAAGTATCCTACATTCAACATAGCGCTTACAGTAATGCTCATGTGCCAAAATATTTTGCACTTTGTATTCTGCTCTCTGCGATACTCGATCATTGTTTATATCTATTGTCGGATCTCTCCTTTGTTCGGCGAGACGTTTTATTTATGTACGTTGCCCTGATTTCCCCCAAAACACTACGATGTTTCAAAGCAACAACCACTAAAATCTTCAAAAAACTTAATTACGATGTGTTTCGTCCAAGAGAATTTTATAACAAATGTTTCCATCGAAATTTGCGTAAGACTTTGCAACGTGAAAGCGTACCGCGAAATCGCTCTTGTCTGCCATTTTCAAAATACAGGAGACCCAATCATGTACCACAGCAAGACCAAAATTCTTTATTCAGCAATGCAACACAATAAATAGATAACGGGCCGAAACATCATCGCTTTCGAAGCGATATAGGCTTGTTCTCTCTCAACCAAAACAAAAGGAAAATAGGCTCTGCTAGCAGGGAATGTCGAGCCGTAGCAGTGAAAACATATCGAGCCGTAAACCAGGACGCGACTAAGTGAACGATCGAACAAATTATATCATATTTACAGAGTTTAGCTATTTATCAAGATTGATTACTTCTACTAGATTTCTTCAGTTTTGTTTTTAATTCTTTCGTGGGATATCAGCGTTGGTAGATGCCTCGTAAGCAAAAGAGAAATCCTTTCTGTGGAGGTTCTAACAAAAGGAAAAGAAGACGTAGATCCACAGCATCCTGTCATGAGAATGCAAAATCACTCTCTTTGAGCGACAAAGGCTCTTACTATAAT